TCATCCATCATCCATCACTTAAACCATCCATCATCCATCCATCCATCATCCATCATCCATCACTTAAACCATCCATCATCCATCCATCCATCCATCCATCCATCACTTAAACCATCCATCCATCCATCCATGCATCCATCCATCCATCCATCCATCCATCCATCCGTCCATCCATCCATCCATCCATCCATCCATGCATCCATCCATCCATCCATCCATCCATCCATCCATCCATCACTTAAACCATCCATCATCCATCCATGCATCAATCTCTCTCCTCTTACAGAAAAAGCCTAAAATCCTTTCATCCAGTTCTCTATGTGTTAAGGTTTGTCAGTGACTCTCCCTCTTTRTTAAAATAAATCTTTAAAATAAAATTTATTCACTCTTCTTCTACAGTTTAAAYATTAAAACGTCGGCCATTTTGTCAGCATGTATTGCTACAAAATAAAAGCTGCAGTTTCCTGCTGGGCCTCAGAGAACATAGATGAAGTTTGAMCAGAACTGTCAGCGTTTCTGTTTTTCCTTGCTGTTAGCTATCTGTGGATAAACCTGCCGCTCTCATTTATTCAGAGAGTCCCGGTGATTTAGGCCAGCAGATTTGTGGAATTAGGTCAGTGGCTCGCTGGCTACGTAATACTCGACTGAGATCCAGCCTTAGCAGCCGAGCACGGACCACCGGCCGGGTGGGGACGGTCAGAGCAGATCCACCTGCTTTCTGCTGGAAGGAAACACTAAAATAAACACTTAATATAAGAAAAAATGCTGGGATATTTTTATTTCAGAGGGTTAGCTGCTCTCTATCAGCTTATCACTCCCAGAACGTGTTGGTTCCAGCTGTTGTAATCCAGATTACTGAAACTCAGGGACTTGTAACATGTAGACAGTGTAGTTTGGGATTATTAGCTGTTTTAAACACTCTTTAGTTTGCTGAGCCTCCAAACAGGAAGTGAGGTTTTACTCTTTTTCTGTAGCAGGAAGGTTTGAAAACAGAAAGTTKGTCTTTTTTTAAGTTTAAGCGTAAAGGTTGGCAAGTAAAAATGAAGGTGCCTGAGATTGACTGACTGTCTTTTTTTTACATTTTGGAGGAACAAACAGACTTTTCCTTATCTGACAATGATTAGTGCTGATACTGGAATAATTTCAGGGATTAAAACTTTTAATGTGAAAACCTTTCGTCCAGTGGGTTCAGATCTGTTCAGAGTTTTTATTAGGGATGTCCCATCAGATACTCGCTATCAGTATCGGTGGCAGATGTGGCCATTTTCTGAAAATTGGGTGGAATGGGATTTAGTCATGTGATCGGTCCGATCCAGTTCATGCTTTACAACTGCAGTTAAGAAGTCAAGACACACACAAGTACACAACCATGTCCACAGTGTGGGAACACTTTTAAATTTTAAACAATGATGCAGAAACTGCATCTTGTAAATCTGCAAACTGGATGTTTCTGATGGTGGGAACAGCAGGGCTCGCTTTAATACTACCAACCTGTCACTTGGAAAGAAATAAAGAAATAAAGAAATAAAGCTATCGGATCGGTATCAGATCGTATCAGAAAGATCATTAAAAAAATCGGATTGTATCGGGAGCCAAAACATCTGGATCAGGACATCCCTAGTTTTTATGTCAGGATAGCTCAGGCTCAGGCTCAAACAAGACAGAGAGAGAGAGGTTAACTGGATAAGTTCTGGATTAAAACTGGAACCAGAAGAAACAGAACCAGAGAACGGATCAGTCGGAGGGACAGGAAATGCACMGATCAGTTGGGCAGCAGGAGAGGACAGTTGTTAATTGAGGTTTAAAGTGCCTGTGACGTGCATATCCTTCAAATACAAAAAGCAAAAAAAAAAAACATCTTTATTTTTAGGAAACTTGGCATAAAACAGGTTGATGATTTTTACCCATTTTGTAACATAACTGGCACATTRTCTTTGGAATTTAGCTCAGTGAAAATGAAACAGGAAGTGACATCAAAGGGAAACTCTCTGCTCTTTGTTTAATAAAACAATATATTTTGAAATCTGACTCTTATCTAAAGAAACATCAGATTCTTCTCTACACTCTGGKTTATCAGCTGATGTAACAMYGCTCTGTTCACATGCAGACATTCCCCTATGACATCACTTCCTGTTACTTCACATGCAAATATCTCAACAACTGTTCATCCAGCTGTATGAAATGTTTTTTGCAATATGTTATCAATCTTATCTTTCCAACAATGCATTCATAATGATTACAAAAGTTTATGTCACAGCTAACGACGACAGCTAGCGGCAGCTTCAGAGGGGTTWAGCCTCAGAGCTGAGCGGCCGGAGCACCTCTGTCTGACTGACCTTTCTCGCTGACGCTCTCCATGTCCACGTCCTCACAGCTGGTGTACTCGGGCGTGGAGCCGCCCTCCTCCTCCGAGCTGCTGATAGACATCTGCCTCTTGTTGGCGCCACGCTTGCTCTTGTAGGAGCGTGSGGGGGGCGGCCGCAGAGACTCGGACTGGTCGGAGCTCTGGGAGTCCTTCCTCAGGAGGCTGTCCCCGCCTTTGTCCCGCGGGGTCCGGGACTCTGGGTGGCTGCTGTTCTGGTTCAGATCAGGAGGACCGGATCTGCCTCCGTCTCCACCGGGTGACGCCCCGCCCCCCACGCCCGCGGTCCTGTCACCAGGGAAGGCCTGGTGGTTGACGAGGAGACCCTTGCGGTCCCCCTCCCCACCCCCACTCCTCCTGCCCAGGCGGTTTGCAGGCACCTGACCCGCCCCGCCCCCTCCGTCGTTGGGTCCCAGCCCGACCTCGTTGATGGCGAGGTCGCTGTGCCGCCGCTCGTGCCGGACCTTGGACACCTTGGCGTGCATGCGCATCTCCTGCTCCTCCTTCTGCGGCTTCACCGGGTACCTGGCCAGATTGGGGTCGCTCCGATAGCGGTTCTGGAACTCCTCTTCGCGGCGCCGCCTCTCCCGCTGCTCCTCGTCCTCCGGGCGTCTCCGGCGCGCCTCCGAGCCACCCAGGTTCTCGTTCCCGTCCTCGTAGTCCTGAGAGTTGATCTTCTCCAGCCGCCGCCCGCTCCCGAACCGCCTCTCTCCTCGGTCTCCCAGACTGGAGCGCTCCTCCAGGGAGGAGTGGGACTGGAGCTTCCCCGCWGGTCTGCGTCCACCGCCGCCATGCCCCGCCCCTCCTCTGCCGTTCTGTTCATGGAGGGAAACCGGCCTCTTCCTGGAAACGACACAAACCACTTCAACACACAAACACAAAGCAGGTGCGACAGGATCAGGTTAGGGTTGGGGGTTAGGATCAGAGGAGTTCTTACTTTTCTCTGGGGGGTTCACTTTGGGAGCGGGATCCGGGCATGGCGTCGCCGCCTTTGGCAGCGGTGACTCCAGCGGGCGACGGCGTTCCTTCTGGCAGCGTTACGTTGGTGCTGGAGGGCGGGGCTTGTGATTTGGAGCGGAGCAGCTTCCTGTCGCGCTGAGCCTCACCTCTGGAGGTCGGGTCGTTCAAGGAGGCGCCGAGGCTCCCGGGCCGGACCCCCGACCCCGAAAACCATTCTCCTGATTTGGTGAGGATCTCCTGCTGCTTACGGCACAGGTTGCAAACCCACATCACCTGGAGGGGGACACACAGGTGGACCGCAGGGTCAGAACCTTCATCACAGAGTGTTCAACATGAACTAAAGACATTACTGTGAGACTGCACCGTAAAAGAAAATAAAAAAAGCTGAAAAGTAGTTGAAATAAGAAGAAAATAGTGGAAAATAGATTAAAAGAAGCTGAAACTTCTGGAAAAATAGCTGGAAAAGCTGAAACTATCAAAAAATATCTAAGAAAGTAGCTGAAACTATAGACCACATTTGCTGAATTTAGCTAAAAATAAGAGGCTCAATTTAGCAGAAAAACAGTTAAATAATACATGAAAAACGCGGAAATTAGCAGGAAGCAGCTAAAGAGAGCTGAAATTAGTACAAACAAGCATAAAAACCAGAGTAACAGGTGAATTGAGAGTAAAGGTTGTAAACAGAACAAATGGTCTGAAGGAAAATATTAATTTTCAATGGTAAAAAATGTACAAATACAAAAAGTGATAGCAGAATCAGCTGAATGGTTTGATACATAAAATGTTGAAATAGCACAAAAACTGTGGAAGAAGTGACGAGTCAAAAAATGTACAGAAGAAAATCTCAATAAGTTTTTTCYTTTTCTCCTGTAAAAACAAACGTTTCATTTGGTTTCTAAAAAATAAACACATATACCAGAGGTGAATAGTAATAAAGTACATTTACTTTGTTACAGTACTTAATTCTTTCAAGGAATGGTAATTTTACCAAATACTTTTTAAATCGTAACATTTAACATTTTATTCTGTTACTTCATTTCAAACCTAAAATTGATACTTTTACTTCTTTACTTAATGATTCAACACCTTGTTACAAATTTAAATATGACAGAACTCATCATGAAAACAGTTGTTTATGCACTCAAAAAACAGAAGAGTTAAATTTACTTAAAGCATTTTACTCAACTTGATTTAGTTGAACCAGTTTGATAAATCAATTCAACACTTGATTTCTTAGATTTTGTGTAAAAGTACTTTTACTTTTACACTTATTGAGAGCAGTTTTATGACTTTACTTATCAGTGAAATTCATTATTTTCTACTATAGTACTATAAACCGCTCTGACAGTTAGTCACTTTTACATCATTTTTGCCATTTTATAATGAAAAACACTGAAATATTTCGTCATTAACCCAATATTTAATTTGGAAAAACTAAAAACAAACTGAAAGTAATCAATAGGCTCTTAACGTATAAGTTCAGGATGACTCCCAGTTGCTACCAACCAAACCCTGTCTCAACATCTTAAAACTTGTTGAGTTGGAGCCATTTTTTAAATCTTTTTGGCCACAGCAGCCATCTTAGTTTGACAGTTTTATTAAAGTAGTTTATCAGATATTTTGCTAACAGGAACAGGAACGTCCTGAAGCCACTGATGATTTCAAATAAAACAAACTTGATTCTTTCGTCTCAGCATAAAGACATCCAGTACTCACACACTGCCATGGCTACTGGATATCACCTCCCTTCAGCTGCAGGAAAACAGGATCTATCTGCCTCCAGATTAATAATCCCACACGTTTGTTTAGCAGAGAAGAACCCACAACACCGGACACCTCRAGCTTTGGGAACCTCAAAAATGCTGCTTCAGCTGTTGGGTTAGCCTTCGGCACCGAAGCCCCTTCGTCCCGTCCCGACTGAGTCCCAGTTGGCTCGTGTCCAGACTAATCTGGAGTAAATCAGCTGCTGGAGCAACCCACAGCTGTCAGGCAGCATCATGAACTCACGATGACGTCTCTCCCTACCTCCCTGCCTCCTCTGGATCTGTTTCCTCACCAGCTGCAGATTAGCAGAGACCGCTAATCCATTCAGCTTCTCAGCATCACTGACATCAGCTGAGAGCATCAGCTCAGCCCCAAACTCCTGACTCCGCCCCCCTCAGAGCCAGGAACATCTCTGAATCCTCCTCACCAAGCTCCCATGTGTTCTCTTGTGATTCCAGCTGAAACAAGCACACCTCCAAGGTGTTTCATGGTGTCTGATGGTATGTGTTGGTGTCTGATGGTGTATGATGGTGTGTGTTGGTGTTTGATGGTGTTTGATGGTGTTTAATGGTGTTTGATGGTGTGTGATGGTGTGTGTTGGGTGTTTGATGGTGTTTGATGGTGTGTGTTGGTGTTTGATGGTGTTTGATGGTGTGTGTTGGTGTTTGATGGTGTTTGATGGTGTGTGATGGTGTTTGATGGTATTTGATGATGTGTGTTGGTGTTTGTTGGTGTTTGATGGTGTGTGTTGGTGATTGTTGGTGTGTGTTGGTGTTTGATGGTGTTTGATGGTGTGTGATGGTGTGTGATGGTGTGTGTTGGTGTTTGATGGTGTTTGATGGTGTGTGTTGGTGTTTGATGGTGTTTGATGGTGTGTGTTGGTGTTTGATGGTGTGTGTTGGTGTTTGATGGTGTTTGATGGTGTGTGTTGGTGTTTGATGGTGTTTGATGGTGTGTGTTGGTGTCTGATGGTGTGTTGGTGTTTGATGGTGTGTGTTGGTGTTTGATGGTGTTTGATGGTGTTTGATGGTGTGTGTTGGTGTCTGATGGTGTGTTGGTGTTTGATGGTGTGTGTTGGTGTTTGATGGTGTTTGATGGTGTGTGTTGGTGTTTGATGGTGTTTGATGGTGTGTGTTGGTGTCTGATGGTGTGATGGTGTTTGATGGTGTGTTGGTGTTTGATGGTGTGTGTTGGTGTTTGATGGTGTCTGATGGTGTTTGATGGTGTGTGTTGGTGTTTGATGGTGTCTGATGGTGTGTGTTGGTGTTTGATGGTGTCTGATGGTGTGTTGGTGTTTGATGTGTTTGTTGGCATTTGATGGTGTTATAACTTATAAAGTGGACACAAAAACTAGTTCAAACAGAAGAGATCAGATTTTAAATTTGATCCCAAACTGARCTACACTTCCCATCATGCACTGTGTTTAACCAGAAGAAAAGGTAAACATTTCACAGCTAGAACTGAGATTTTAAATCTCTAATCTGTTTGTTTGCTTAATATTTTGTTTTCCTTCCGTTTCTTATTTTCTTGTTGTTAATTTTTTTTGTGTTTCTCTGTTATTTTTTCCACCTTTTCAGTCTGAATTTCTCTCGTTCAGCAGAATGAAACTCTGAGACTTTAAGACTTTTTTACCTGGATTATTTTAGTTTTAAATGCTTCTGATCTGAGCTGTTAAAACTGTTGTCAGTTTTATTTTTGATTGCAAAAACATCTGGAGCTCGTCGTCACGAGCAGATCCAGAGTTTCTTTTATTAAACTGCTCACAGGTTTGTCGCCTCGTGAACGCTGTGTTTCATATTTAAAGTCTGTGTCAGACGGCGGGGGTGTGGGAGGACTGAAACGGAGACACAAAGCAGAAGGAGGGAGGAATGATGGAGCAGGTGAGCTGCAGGTGAGTCGTCTCCAGCTGAGGAACATGACAGGAAGTTCCTGTGGTCACATATAAACCAACCCAACAAACACCGAACTATGTCTCTGAGCTGAATAATCCAGATTATTGTCCAGATGAGGAGGCCTCCTGTCCTCCACCAGGAGGCGCCGCTCCTCCACAGAACAAACAAGCAGAACMACAGCAGGCTGATACACACAGCTTTTATTTTTCTATCCTTATCAGGACCGTTTGACTTCCTTTCATTTCTACAACCATAACCAGCTCACAACCCTAAACTCAGTTCATACCTTAGACCAGGTGTGTCCAACTCGAGGCCACATGAGCATCATGGTTTTATTTAACTTTCACTAAAACACGACATTCATAAATCACAAATATATTAAAGTAAAACTAAGCTTTTACTCACGGATGAGTTGTGGTGAGGAGCTGCTGTCTTAAATTCTGACCTCTCCCACCTTCACACAGGGAATTCCCACTAGAGGGACATTCCAGATTAAAATTCCAACTTAAGAGTGGGAAATTTCCACTTCCCAGTACAACTGCAGCAAAATTCAATAATACCATCAATAATACCTTGCTGCAGCACGCCCCATCTGATTTTTCAACCCTGGTCCTCAAGGCACACTGCCCTGCATGTTTTAGATCAGGGGTGCAGCTCGTTCCCAGGTGCCCGCGGAGCGCAACCCTGCTCTAACAGCTGATGAGCCGGATCATCAGCTGTTCTTACCCTGTCCCTCATGGTGAGACACTTTGAAAAGGAAGAAGACAAACAGTGGACACAGAGTTACACACAGAGTTACACACAGAGTTACACACAGAAGACAACAGGAAGACGTGTACCTAAAAATTAAAGCCACAAAATTCTCTTTCAGAATAAAAGCAGAGCTGTAATTTATCTTTCAGAATAAAAGCAGAGCTGTCATTTATCTTTCAGAATAAAAGCAGAGCTGTCATTTATCTTTCAGAATAAAAGCAGAGCTGTNATTTATCTTTCAGAATAAAAGCAGAGCTGTCATTTATCTTTCAGAATAAAAGCAGAGCTGTCATTTATCTTTCAGAATAAAAGCAGAGCTGTAATGAATCTAATCTGACTGAAAACATTTGAGGAAAATGAAAAATGAAATGATTTAAATCAGATTTTAATCTGGATTCTGTATCAGAGGACTGGACCTGGTTTAGTTGTCTCCTCTGGTTCAGGTCCAGGGGAACCGGACAAGTCCAGATCCACAATGCCTCCCCATAGATAGAGCAGGTAGATGAACAGTAACGACTCATTTAAAATATTTATTCTCGTTTTCGGTTCTATTTTTAGTTCAGTCATTAATTATTCAGAAGACTTTGATCTGATGTTATTTTCAGCTGATGAGTGGTTTTTATTGAGCTTTTTGTTTTATTTATAGATGATGTGAGTCCACCACGCCGCGGCCCGTCTGACGGTATCTGTGGACCCAGGGAGGGTCCGGTGCCGGCTGGGCCGGGCGGATGCAGAACAGATTGGGTGCCAGCAGGTTCTGGGTGGAGTCCGGTGAAGGGAAGCAGACGGAGCGCTTCAGGTTGGAGCTCAGCCCAGGAAAGGCTCAGACGCAGAGCGAGGGCCTAAAATAGAACCAACATGTTGGGACTGGACGTCAGACCGAYGGGTCCAACACTAACAGGTCGATCCAAACACCAACCAGAACTCCCATTGACCCCCAGCTTAATTAAGAGACGTTAAATACTGTTTCCTGTCGGAGCTAAAACTACTTCCTCCGACTGATTAATTCAGGAGAAACGTCTTTCTGACCACGTTTAAAACTCACGACGTGAAGACTCGTGAACGAGGCGAGACCTTCTGCAGATGAAAGTCTTTCACCCACAAACCTCCCTTCAGTCACGAAAGCATCAATTCACGGAAATTTCCAGATTAAATTGACTAATTTTCTTATAATTTTGCGTCTAAAACAAATGAGGAATTGCACAACAATGTGTGGCGTTTGTCTTTTTTCCTTTTGTGCAGATTCAATCAGAAAAGTGAGGCCGACTGCTGAGCTGAGTACGACACGAACAGCTGAGTAAGCAGTTTTATGAGACGAAAACAAGTCAGGATTTTTATAAATTAGGCACTTAAAACACGACCTTAAAACTCAGGAATCCTCTGAGACTAAAACAGAAAGTTCACATCRTTTCTGATTCTGGTTCTGAGATTTAACTAGGGCTGTGTGGAATTTGGTGATATGAAGCATATCACGACAAAGGTCACGATATATCGTGATATGGTCTGTAAGCAACACGATATATCGCTATTTTTTTTCTTCAAATAATTCTAATTTTAAAAACTCTGTATAAAAATCAAACCCTGTAGTACAGGCGCAAGATCTCATCTAAGTTTTGATTAAACATCGACGCATTATCAGGAAATGAAATATCGTGATATTTGAGTGTATCGATATTTTCTCACACTTATCGAGAATACCACGCTACATTTTGTTTCCTTCTCACAATAAAACAGATTCAACAGGTGAAATTCCAGCTTAAGGTCAGATATGACATAATTTAATCCAAATGCAGAYTAGTGATGAGTACCTAACAGTGTTGTAAGAAAATATCGATACACTGAAATATCTCAATATTTCATTCCTGTTCTTTAATCACTGTATCATTTTTTAATTAAAGCTTAGATCAGATTTTGTGCATGGTGTGCTTTTTATACTAAGATTTTTAATTAGAATCTTCTGGAGGAAAAAAATGGTGATATATYGTCTTGCTTACAGAATCGCGATATATCGTATCGTGACTTGTGTCGTGATTTGTATCACATGATCAAATTATTGCTGACATCCAGCCCTGGTACCCAAAAGAATTTGATTTGAGAGGAGATGCTTCCAGACCAAGTATCAAAAAAGTGTCATTTTTTAAAATGCKTCTTCAAGCCATGTTTCATCCTGGTTCTTCAGTCTCGGTCCTGATTGGATAAAAGAACCACAAAGGGCACAACACAGAACCACCAGCATAGATGAGGAGGTCAAAGGTCAAAGAGCCTCACGTTGTTGGAGCGCAGGGAGACCCGCCCCCCGCAGCGGGCGCAGAACTTGGTCTGGCAGTAGGAGCAGAGGTGGCCGCAGCCGTCGGCGAACTTGGTCTTCCGGCAGATTCCGCAGGTGGGGGCGTCGTCCTTCTGCTGCGTCTGCTGCTGCCGCCGCGTCTCCACCCCGATGCGGCGCACTTCCTGTTTGTAGCTCTCGAACTGCTTGTGGAGCGTCCTGAGGGGAGAGGAACGCAGGTTTGGTTCAGGGAATTCAGGTGAGAGTGGGCGGGGCACAGAGGAAACTCAACAGAACCAATCACAAACGAAAACACAAAAACAATAAACATTAAAATAAAAACACACAAAAATTAATAAATAAAAACACACAAAAATTAATAAATAAAAACAAACAAAAAATAATAAATAAAATCAGTCAAAAAATAATAAATAAAAACAGACAAAAAACACAGGTGAATGACTGAGAGGAAGAGGAGGAAACAAATAAATAAGAAGACAGGAAGCAGATAAAACACTGAGATTTCAGTGTGCTAGTCTGTGCAGAAGGCTAATATGAGATAATAGCCAGTCCGAGCTGACTGCTAGTCTGGGCTAATGACGAGGCTAGGCTAACAGCTACTCCAAGCAGATGAATGAGTCAGGTCAAGACTGAAATAGAATGCTGATGTCTTTTAAGACCTCATTTTTCTAAAGGATCGCTGCAGTTCATGCAAATGCTACAGCAGGTAAAATAAGTATTGAACACGTCACCATTTTTCTCAGTAAATATATTACTAGAGGTGCTAATGACATGAAATTTTCACCAGATGTTGGTAACAGTTATTTGTAATAATCAGAGATTCTTAACCTATGGGCCGTGGCCCAATTGTGGGCCGCGAGCGCCACCTTGAGGGCCTCAAAGGAACAACAGTTTAACTTTGGACCGCACTGATTTTAAATAAGGTGTAATACACTTTCTCACCACTAGTAGCAGTAG